TAGTCGCCATGTCTACAAGATCCGAGCAGTCCGTCTCGATCCGTACCGCTGAAAACCTCAAGGCTTTCAGGCATAAGACTGCCCAGAGTAGTCCTTCCATCTCTGCATGCAATGCTGATCGGCTTCTGTTACATGCCCGTAGTCCGAAGTGTTCAGCACCCATGTGATCCTGACAACTCCATCCTAAGCCACTGACACTACCATTATCGACCCATGATGCATCGATTTGGCAGGTTGGGAGTCGGAGAAGCCCAGGGGGTTCTGTCACTGTCTCTAATGGAGAGGGAATCGCATGAGCCTCCTCCTCCTCCTCGCTCTCGTTTGCCTTCCTCCAACATTCTGCCTCTAAAGACGCATGTTGGAGGGTATCCATCGGGGAGACGATTTTCCCGTTGAAGAGTTTGTCGTTCCTTGCCTTCCATATGTACCAGCAGATCCATGGAAAGGTGTCGAATTGTGGTCTCCGAGGAGCCACTTCTTTTCTCTTCCAAAAGAGGAAGTTTATATTTTGGTAAATAGATGTACTCGGGAAGTCACCCGGAATGGACGGATTGTCCGATAAAGCCCAAACCTGCAAGGCTGGGGGGCACTCAAAAAGAAGATGGTTGATCGACTCCACTGGGCCAGCACATCTAGGACAACTCCTATCGGTGCCCAGGTGTCTGTAAGTGAGCCTCTCTGCTGTTGGTACACAGCCCGAAATAGCTTGCCATAAGAAATGTTTCATCTTACTCGGGGCCTCTATCCGCCACACGTGACCTAGAAGGCCAGTGATACTTGGTTCAAGGACCAAATCCTGAGTAGGTCTCGTCTTGTTCGTCTGTAGCAGGTCGTATCCAGTCTTAACTGAGTATATCCCTGTCTTTGTGTAGTCCCAAACATATCCGTCCAGGGTATCGGATTGTGATGGTTTAATCCCAAGGATTAGGGGAATATCATCCGGCTGAAAATACTCCCGTAAAAGCTGTATATCCCACTCCTTCGTATCATTCCTAATAAGGGCCTGAACGGGGAGTTGGGGGAGTCTGTATACAATGTGGTCAGCAGGCTTGGGTGGGCGAGCCACTGAATCAGGGACCCAGTGGTCACTCCACACCTTCGTGTCTCGGCCCGTTCCAATCCTCTTTCGTAGTCCCAAAATAAGTAATGGTTTTGCTGCCATGATACTTCGCCAACCATATGAAGGTGAGTATGTACGTCGTTCATCCAAAGGAGAGGTATGCTTGTAGTACCTTCCTTTTAAGACACGTGCCAGTAAGGAGTTTGGGTAGTGAATCAAGCGCCATAATTGTTTTGCAAGAAGTGCTAAGTTGAAATCATGGAGGTGACGGAAACCTAGTCCCCCTAAACTCTTAGGGGTACAGATCTCATCCCATGCTATCCAATGTAAACCTCTGCTGTTCTGCTTCGAGCTCCACCAAAAATTTGAAGTCGTGCTGCTTAGTTTGTCGGTGATACCTTGTGGGATCAAATAGCACGACATTGGGTATGTCGGAACTGCTTGGGCCACCGCCTTAATCTGGACTTCTTTTCCCCCCTTAGAGAGTAGTCTCGATGACCAGTTGTTCACTCGCCCATTCATCCTGTCTTGTACATAAGAGAAGACTTTTGTTTTCGATCCACAGATATGTTCGGGTAACCCAAGGTACATTCCCATGCCTCCTTCAGTCGAGAAGCCCAAAACTTCTTTAATTTCTCGTTTTCGAAGGTGATCCACACGATTTCCAAAAAACATCGAGGATTTTGCCGCATTTAATTTTTGTCCCGATGCTTTTCCATAAACGTCAATAATGTCCATGATTTCTTTGCATTGGCTTACTTCAGCCTTACAAAAGAAAAGACTATCATCCGCGAAGAGGAGATGAGTGGTCCTTGGACTCGCCTGAGCCACACGAATACAATGTATATAACGTATAAGGGAAATCATTCACACGAGAAAGAGAAACCATTGATCAATGATCAGTACACTAAATCTTGACCATGTGCTCGTATTTGTATTTGTAAGTTACCCTATCATCTTCAAATTCAGAAATATATAAAAATAAATAAATAAACCCAAACATTAGTTTCAAGTCAAAGCCATAGAAAAAAAATACAATTAAGGGACACATATCCTAATGCTACAAAGCTGACTTTGATGTTTGAACATCATCAACCCCAACCCAAGATAGAGCCATAGATTTATAGAGATATTTAGTGTATATTAATTTACCGAATATTAATTTATAGATGTTCTACTACATAATTATTTGGGTTGATTAATGAGTCACTATTGAAGCCACATGTGCATTGTGTTAAGTTTTGGAATTTGGAGTCAACGTTTGCATGATATGGCTTAACTGAATATAACTGGACATAACAATACTCATTTAGGCAATTGGCACACTAATCTCTCTAAGGATTCTGTTTTAAAAAAAATATATTGTCTCATGCATGAAGCTGTTTGAGATCTCTTTGGGTATATAGTAATTTGAATCCCCAAAAGGTAAAAACATTAGCAAAGAAACTAGAGAAAATATCATATACCCAAAATTTAAAACACTAAATTCTCTAATCAGTTCACATATGTGTCTATGAATTTATAGAAAAAATACTTCAACTTTCTGATTTCTTGTTAAAAAGCATTTGTCTGTTATATATATATATATATATATATATATATATATATATATATATATATATATATATATATATATAATATAATATGATATAAAGTCTTACTTTCCTCTCAATTCATTTGTTTATTTTACAAACGAATAATTTTACAATATAAAGTAAGAAATTATCAACCTTATGAAAAAGATTAATAAGTTAAAATGATTTATGCATTGTACTAATATAACACTTTAGACACGCAATAGTAATGTAAACACTCTGCATAAAGCAAGAAATTAACTTTATTGTTCTTTCAAGCAATCTTAAAGCCAACAATACATTTCTCTCACAACAAAGAAACTCTGTAAATGTAACGAACATTTTCTATAAATATAAAGATTCATGTTTCCTATTAATTATCAAACAAATCCATATAAGAGATCTCAACACCACTTTTCATAATAAACACTTTGTTGAAGAGTATTCTTCATACGTGAGAGAAGGTATATAATTATATTGCGTTATTTGTGAAGAGTATGTCCCTCGTGGGTTCGTGCATTTACGTTGTTTGTGATTGTAGTTTCCATTTTCACAAAGGATGTCCGACCGTATTGTTGGAGTCGAGTCAGACGATATATCATCAGAGACACATGAGCATACGCTCACCTTCATCGCTTGTTTCAAACTTTTCAAATTCTTGATTTTAAGAAGTGCTGAATATGTGATAGACCCGTTGTATATGAATGGGGAGGATATATTTGTATCGACGAGTCATGTGATTATAAACTACATTCATATTGTGCAACACGTAAAGAGATTTGGGGTGGCAAAGATCTTGAACAAGAACTTGAAGAATTTAGTAATTCTGAAGACATTGTATCACCACCATCATTGGTGGAGAAATATAGCAAGTCTAGCCGAAATTTTAGTCATCACCAATTCACCATGACATGATGAGACTTTGCGTCAACGATGAAATGGAACATGGAGGAATATGTCAAGCATGCATCCTTCCCATCGACTTTAGCAAATTCTTGGGCTGTAAAGAATGTGATTTTGTAGTCCACGACACTTGTGCAAGCCTTCCACGGAAGTTAGAACACATATTCGATTTCCATCCACTAACCCTCGAAGTGAAGATGACGAACATCAAAGAAGGGTTCTTCAGTTGTTCTAAATTTGGACGTGAATCATGTGGCTTCATATACCGGTTCTACCACGAAGAATGTGAGTTTAAAATATAAAGGTAAAGGCTTTCTTATTATGCAAAGAGGTATTACATCTCCTATATATACATCGAGAGTACTAGGTTAATCAAAAACAACTGAAGTTTCTATAAACAACATTGAAGAATATTGAGGACGTAATGATACGATATGCAGTATCCTTGATATGCCCCCTCAAGATGGAGAAGGATTTGTCACTCCAATCTTGTTGCATAGATCAATAAAGCACAGGCGATGAAGTGGTTTAGTTAATGCATCAGCAAGTTGATCCTTTGTGTTGATGTGTGACACTCTTAGCATCCGGTGTTGAATTTGCCCTTTGATGAAGTGGTAGTCCAAGGCGACATGTGCTTTAGTCCAAGGATGACATGTGCATCCGGTCATCCTTGAATGGAAGACCGGATTTTTGCAGAGGAAAGTGGCACCCAAGTTGTCACAGTATAGAGCCAGAGTGTCAGGGAGCTTGATATGTAGTTCAGTAAGCAGGTTACAGATCCAACATAGTTCAGCGGAGGCATTAGCAACTGCCCAGTATTCAGCTTCCGTTGATGATCTCGCAACTCCCGTCTGTTTCCGTGAGCTCCAAGAGATGAGATTTCTGCCTATGTAAACGACGTAGGAATTTGTAGAGACATAGTCGTCTGTGTCGCCTGTCCAGTCTGCATCCGTGTAACCGTGGAGGCATAGCTTGTTATTGGCGTGAAAGTAGATTCCATGAGTGCTTGTTCCAGCCAGATAGCAGAGTATTCTTTTCGCGGCTTGCCAATGCTCCTCTGTGGGACAGTGCATATATTGTGAGAGCTTATTAACTGCATAATCGATGTCTAACCTTGTGAATTGTAGGTATTGGAGACTGCAAACAAGTTGTCGATATAGAGTTGGTTCCGGCATGGGAGTTCTTCCTTTCAGTGTAAGCCTTGTCGAGGCTGACATTGGTGTGTTCACAGGTTTTGCATCCACCATATTGTGTCAATGTAATAGGTCCAATATATATTTGCGCTGGTTGAGGTGTAGACCTTTTGGTGTGCGCACCGTTTAAATACTGAGAAAGTAGTTGAGGTCCTCTGGATCCTTTATAGAGAACCGTTCAGCAAGGTTGCGAAGGACTGTGTCAATGAGGGATTTGTTGCTTCTAGTGACAAGTATGTCATCAACATAGACAAGCAAATAGACGACCTCATTACTGTTATGGAGGAAAAACATGGAGGCATCTGCAAGACTGTTCTTGAAACCCAGTTGAAGCAAAAACGTTTTGAGCTCGATATACCAAGCACGAGGTGCTTGCTTGAGGCCATAGATGGCTTTCCGTAGACGGCAGACATGATCCAGATGGTCCTTGTCGATGTATCCTGGAGGTTGTTCCATGTATACTTCATCTTCAAGGGTGCCCTGTAAAAAAGTGTTATTGACATCCAGTTGTTGAACTGACCAGGACCTCGAGACCGCAACGTTTAGAACAGTGCGTATTTCGGTTGATTTGATGACAGGACTGAAGGTCACTGTGTAGTCGAGGCCATACTTTTGGGTGTATCCCTTTGCTACAAGTCGCGATTTTGCTGTCTTGAGTGTTCCATTTGGAAAGTACTTGTTCTTGTATAACCATCGGCAGCCGACAACATTATGATTCACCGGCCGAGGAACAAGGTCGAAGGTTTGATTTCTGGCAAAATCATCAAGTTCTGATGACATCGAGCCTCTCCAGATTTTATCTTTGAGAGCTTGATTGACGGTTCTTGGTTCAGGAGGTACTGATGTGGAAAAGGCTGCAGAAAGAGTGAGTTTGGTGTTAGGTTTGGAGATGTTGTTCTTGCGTCTCGTTTGCATCGGGTGAGTGTTGATGGGAGTTGGTTTGGGATCGGGTGGTAGAGACGGCAACGAGGAAGAATCGTTTGAATTTTGTGGTGTTGAGTTATTGGGTTGGGCCAGGTTTAGGGTAGAGATTGTTTCTGGTTGGGCTTGGTTTGATAGTGGATTTGTTTCTGTTTGGGCCTGGTTTGGATTTATTTCTGGTTGGGCCTGGTTTGGGTTTACTTGTGAATGATCAGAAGATTGGTCACCATGGTGCGAAATCGTTACCTGATTGCCGTCGTTAGTGTTGTAGATTTCCGACAGCACTTCCGGCGAAGAAGCAACAGTGGGGTTCCCAATTGGCGGCGTCGGTGAACTATTGAGTGGAGGTATGACGGTGAATGGTGGAAAAGTGTTCTGCGACGGGGATTCAAAAGACGAGACGTTGTTGGGACGATCACGAAAGGGAAAAACTTTCTTATCAAATTGCACATGACGAGAGAGATAGATGCGGCATGTAGTTGGTTGGAGATAGAGATACGCGCTTTGGGTGAGAGAGTATCCAAACATCACACACGGCGTCGAACGATTCTACAGTTTGTTCGTCTCGTACGGTTGGAGCCACGGAAAATAGAGACAACCAAAAGTCCGCAGCTTTGAGTAGTTGGGTGCTTCACCAAAGAGTTTCTGATAGGGTGATTCCATGTTCAGCACTGGAGGTGGTAGTCTGTTAATCAAGTATGTAGCTGTGGCTAAGGCGTAAGTCCAGTATTCCGACAACATTCCAGCATGAGTTAGAAGCGTTAGACCTGTCTCAACTAGATGCCTGTGTTTTCTTTCAGAGACGCCGTTGTGCTCGGGAGTGTGCGGTGCAGTTGTCATGTGGGATATGCCATTTTCGGCAAGGAAAGAGCGAAGCGCGATGTACTCTCCACCGTTATCCGAGTACAAAGTGCCAACTTTTGCTTGAAATTTGTTTTCTACTAGAGCCTTGAACAAAATGAAAATCTCCTTGACTTGGCTTTTGGTTCGAAGAGGATATAGCCAAACATATCTCGTGTAGTGGTCTATTAGGATGAGGTAGTATTTGTAATTGTCTATGGAGAGTGTGGGGGATGTCCAGACATCAGAAAAAATGTATTGGAGAGGTCGAGAGGAGACAATATTGTGTTTGGAAAAAGGAAGTTTGTGTACTTTATTGATTGAGCAATCTGGGCATACATTGTTTTGCAACACAGATTTAGAAACATGTAAAGAAAAACAAAAACAATGTGCTTAAGAATCTGAGAGGAAGGGTGTTCTAGACGGTGGTGCCAGTCTTCTAAGGTTGTTTTGATGTAGGGATGGTGAAGAAGGATGAGATGGTTGAGGTAGAGGCTGGCCACTCATATACATCACTCTTAGCTTTTCTGTGGAGAAATGGGACCCCCGACTAAAGATCCTTCACCTGAAAGTGTTGAGGGAAAAATTCAACAGAAGCTTGATTAGTATACGGAGATGAGATTTTTGTGGATATTTGGGACACACAAGACAATATTGAGATGTATAGGGCGAGAGTTAGAGGGAAGAGATTGTGAACCAGTATGGGTGATTTGAAGTCCTGAACCGTCACCAATGAGAACCGAGTCATCTCCTTGGTAGGGCTGATGGAGAGAAAGATTGATGAGGTCACTGGTGAGATGATGAGTAGCTCCGCTATCTATGATTCAGTTATTTGTTCCTTGAGCATTCATGGCACTGTTGGCACGAGGCTGCCAGGGAGGGTATGAGTTTGTTTCGGCATTGGTGGTCTTGTAGGAGGTGAGTTGAGAGCAGCGCCTAGCAGTGTGTCCATAGGTTCCGCAGAGTTGACACTTCCCTTTGTAGCCTTTAGAGTTTCTTGTGTCTCTGGAGTTGTTGTAGCGGTTGTTAGACCCACCTCTGTTCCAAGTCTGAGGTGAGCGCTGGTGACTCTGTGATTGAGGAGGGCGACTTTGTTGATGAGCAGTTTCTGTATTAGCAGTGATTGGTTGAAGGTGAGGTGGAGAGGAGACAGCTAGAAATTTGGCTTCCTTGTTGAGGAGTTTTTCATGGATCTCGGTGGTTGATGGTGTTGTATCTCGGCCTTCAAGTTGATCGATGACTGATTTGTACTCTTCAGGTAATCCAGCAAGAATGTATTCAACTTGATCTTCTAGCTCGATGGGTTTGCCGAGGAGGGCGAGTTGATCAAACCGTGTGGTGTACCCTTGTATGTACTCATCAATGGTCTTTGTTCCTTTGTTCCATTGTTTGATTTGCAGCCGGAGTTGTTGGATGTGACCTCGAGTGGGCTTTCATATGTGTTGGCTAGTATCTTCCTTATGTCTACTGCGGTTTGAGCTGTGGAGACAATGGGCTGGACAGTAACCGAGATAAATCCAATCAGACCACTGAAGATAAGGCAATCATGACGTTTCCATAGAGCAGGGTCAGGGTTTGGTGTTTGGACTCCATCGATTTCTGTTGTTGGTGTAGGTGAAGTCGCGGATGCATCAAGATGACTGCTAAGGTCGTATCCATCTAGGAGAGCTTGCACTTGAAGACTCCACATCATGTAGTTTGTGGAGGAGAGTTTAGTGAGATTTGTCATGTTCAGATTAAGAATAGTTTGAGGATTTGTGTCGACAGCTTCTGAAGATGTCATCGACATGATGGTGATGAGAAGAAGAGAGATCAGAGGCGGCAAGGAAAAAGAAAATTTTTTTAGGTTTTACACCTGCTCTGATACCATATAAAGGTAAAGGCTTTCTTATTATGCAAAGAGGTATTACATCTCCTATATATACATCGAGAGTACTAAGTTAATCAACAATAACTGAAGTTTCTATAAACAACACTGAAGAATATTGAGGACGTAATGATACGATACGCAGTATCCTTAATATAAAATGGATGCAAAGTGTGCTTCCCTTTCTGATCAATTGTACAATGGAGTGCACCAACACCCTCCTCATGAGCAACAACTCCCTCTCCATCTATTTTTAGAATGTGCTGTTTGAAATTGAATTTAAGACGTGCAACTCTGCCGGTACTGGTAAAGTCCATCGCTGCCGTTATGCAGTGAAATCTGTGAAGTAATAATAATACATGGCTTCCTTGATTTCTGTGTCTGCACCGAGTGCAGTATCGCTGTATGTGTTGAATGCGCAATAGGGAAATACCATATCTGAAATCTGGTTTTACGATCAACGTTAATGGTTTTGAGATTGAGGTTGCATCCAACAGTCTTTCTCAGCCTATATGCCATTCATGTCACTGCATTTGCCGAGACAAACTGATTTTCAAGAATAAAAGAGAGGCTATCTTTTTCTCTTCAATCAAATGTATTACCTCTTCAACGGAAACCCTATCTGGCAAAACAAACTGATTTTCAAGAACCAAGTGTATCGTTCCCTCTTATCTGGAAAATGGCTGCAATCTTAGATGAAGCTTCTTAATGTATTGAGTGCTTGGTTAAAATCAATTAAAGTTAATAATGCTACTAGTCCTTGTGTATGTACAAAAGTGTATATCATTTATTCATCTTTTATTTTCTTGTGAATAAAGTAAGTAAGCAAAAAAAAAAGATTGCAGTATTAGAATAAATAAAACCCTACTTTAATTTCAAATTTCCGTAGTAATTTACCATAAATGAATAACTTTTTAAGATAAAAGTAAGAATCACAACCTTAAGAAAATAGATTAGTAAATTCTCCAAAACATTCTCAGTGTATCAAAATTATCAACCAGATTATAGAATCATGAGGACTGGGTCGATAATTCACCTTTTTGACGGATTGTAAATGAGATTTGGCGTCTTGGATTGGGTCACAACCATGTATCTGTTTTCGTATCATCCAAGTTAACTCTTTGCAGAAAGTTAGCTCTTTGGTTGAAAATAACAAAACCAATTGTGTTAACCACAAACAATAAAGACATTGTTATCTTAACTATGTAAATTAGCCACTTATGTATTCAAATTGACAAATTGAAATTACAAAATATAAACATTTAATTTAGAAAAAATTCTTGAGTTTCTCGTACACTATTCCATACCAATATAACAAGTTTTAGACATGTAGTAGTGTAAATGCCTAGTGTTTAAAGAAAGGCATTAACTTTACTTTTCTTCCAAGCAATATTAAAGCCAATGATACCATTCTCTCACAACAATGAGTTCTCTATATATATAAATATTGCTACCTAAAAATAAAGATTCAAGTCAATCCCTATTAATCAACAAAAAACCTCTATGGAACACCACGACATCATTTTTCGTCATAAACACTCTATTGAACTCTCTCATCCACCCCATAATTCTATTTCTTCTTATCATTTTGTTAAAAATTGCATTATTTGTGAAAAACGTCTTCATTTTGAGTATATGCATTTTTATTGTCGTGTTTGTGATTTTCGTCTTCACAAACAATGTTATAACATATTGTTGTCGTCGAGTCAGACAGTAAATCATCCACAGAGACATATCCATACGCTCACATTCATTCGCAAAAGGAACACCTTCAACTGTGCTGCTTGTGGAGAGGTATACAAAGACAAGATGAATATGTATGGATGTTTGCTATGCAATTTCTTTATTCACAAAAACTGTATCTATTTACCAAAGGTAATAAAACTTACCTGTCACTCACATCGCTTGTTTCATACTTTTCAAGTTCTTGTCAATAAGAAAAGCTGTCAAATATGTAATCAACCACTTGTTTACGAATATGGAGGATATATTTGTACACACAAGTCGTGTGATTATAAACTACATTCATATTGTGCAACGGGTAAAGAGGTTTGGGATGGCACAGATGTCGAACAACAACCTGAAGAAGTTAGTACTTCTGAAGATGTTGCCTTGTTATCATTGGTGGATATAGATAGCAAGACAAGTCGCCATTTTAGTCATCAACATAACCTGATGAGACTTTGCATCAATGATGAAGTTGAAGATGGAGGGATATGCCAAGCATGCATCCTTCCCATTGAATTTGGTAGTTTCTTTGGTTGTAAAGAATGTGATTTTGCACTCCACAACACTTGTGCAAAACTTCCTCGAAAGATGGAACACACGTTCCACCGCCATCCGCTAAACCTAGAAGTGAACTTGATGAACATTAGAGAAGGGTTCTTCTATTGTTCTAAATGTGTACGAGCATCATGTGGCTTCGTGTATCGGTGCTACGAAAGACATTGTGAGTTTAAAATGGACGCACGTTGTGCTTCCATTTCTGATCCATTGTACAATAGAGCGCACGAACACCCTCTCCATCTGACAGACAGTGGTGCACGTTGTAACCAATGCGACTTCACTTTGAAACCAGAACGCGCAACTCTACCAGTGTTGGTAAAGCACAAGTATGACACTCATCCCCTTACCCTAGGTTTTTTTGAATCAATCAGGTGGTCAGGGTTGCGTTGTATAATCTGTGAAGTAAAAATCGAAGATGGCTACTCGTATTCCATGGGTCACAACCCGGATCTCTACGGATGCACCGAATGCAAAACCATTATGTGTGTTGAATGCGCAATAGGTAAATATCCATATCTGAAACCTGACGTTACGATCAAAGTAAATGGTTCTGAGTTTGATACTGCATCCAACTTCAGTCTTTCTCGGCCGATATGCCATGCATGTCAAGATATATGCCAAGACAAACTGGTTTTCAAGAATAAAAGAGTTTCTTTATTTTTTTGTTCTATCAAATGTATTATCTCTTCATAGTAAATCATTTCTGCCATGACAAACTGATTCTCAAGAATCCTCTCTCTTTCTGTTTTATCAACTGTATTATTTATTACGCTTGGGAAAAATCAGGTCACACTGATAATTCTCCTCATCCTTGTCTATGTGTAAAAGTGTACATTATTTCTTAGTTCTTCTACTTTATAGTGAATAAAGTCTCTATCCTGTTGACAAAAACATGAAGAAGTAAGTATTCACAAAAAAAAATTTCTGTTTGAAAAATGTATTGACATGAATAAAAGCCTAGCTCACTTTGCTTTCAAATTTCATTTCTAATTTACCATATACCGAATTACCTTATAAGATTAAAAAAGAAACCAACACCTTAAGAAAAATAAATTAGTAAGTTCTCTCTTCTTGCCTACGCAAGGCCCCTCCATTGTCTCAAATAGGCAAAACAAGTAGCTTTGCCTCCATGAACTTCTAATCTCACTGCTAACAAAACGTTCCCACGAAGAAAGCGGATGGTGATGATGATAAGTTAGAGGATGGTTTGAATTGGGCTTGTGGTGGGGAAGGCCGAGCTAACTGTGCACCTATCCAACTTGGCAAGCCTTGCTATCTCCCGAATCCCCTATATATTAATTGAGGAACATTTGAAAAGATGTAACCTCAATTTTGTATTAATTAAAAGAGGCCCCAATGCATAGGTGTCATTCAATTAGGTAGTCAATTAGATTCAATTGAAAAATAAGTAAGTCCACATTGGATTTTTATAGGTTGCTAGATACATTAGTTAGTCAAACTATATGATATAATGATATGA